GCAGAACCTGCTCTAACCGGGTCACAGAGCAGAACCTGCTCTAACCGAGAGTCAACGATCAGACAGTGAACCGGTGTAAATCTCAGGGTTTGTTGTTGGCCACTTTCTCCACAGGCTGTCCTGTGATGCATTCTGTGGTAGCACGGTGTCTGATGCTTTACCCGCATCGTCTCCCCCTAAAAGATAAAGGAGGGCTGATGGTTCCTCTGACCGGTGGTAAAGGTGGTCAGCTCAGCTGAGGCCTCATTCACCAGTCCATGTCAGAGCTGTCTGAGGGGCCTTCATCTGTCAGTTTGTCTGGCTGAGGCTGGTTCTGTGGATTGGTTTTTTCTGGGGGGGAACATTTCAGAAACACAGTTCAGAATTGACAACCACCATTTTGTGCTGGCTGCATTAGTTGTGTCTCTTCCACAAGCTGAGGCTGCACCACATGACAAACTGAACCCTGAAGGTGCAGAGTGGCAACAAACGGAAAAAGCATACAGACACACACACGTGCACACAGACAGACTGCAATTGTACAGCTGTATATCTATATATATCTCATCAATGTGAATCTAAAAACAATTCATCAAAATCAGTTAAATGTAAATGTTTGCGCTCTTTATTCAAAGAACACTCAGGTCACATATAGTTTTCAGGATGTGGTTGTCATGGACTCAGATTACATGTTAAATTTCAATATTTTTATTACAGAGACAGTGTTACACACATTGGTAACTGAAAACACTCAGCATTAAAAGTGTATATGCTAGGTTTGGTTTTATCCTAAACATCGGGAGTAAATGTAGCTGTGTCAATACGTTGCACATATTACAACATTTTTTATTTCTAATCTTTTATTTTGGTGAACATTTTCAAAACCTGTGCGTAATATTTTCCATTGTTTCCATCATTGTTAAATTAAATATGTTTTTCTTTTTAGTAAACAGGCAGATTAAGAAAAGACAACCAATTCATTGCCTCCCCCGTATTTAAACCATCCATTAGCTTATTGTTCACAGCTTCATTACTTAAAGAGATTTCAAATAATCTGGGCCTTAATGGTTTACACCCAACAACACCTCCACACAAGAGTGGGATTGTTATCATTAACCACTGATATCTTCTCCTCTCCTTCCATCTCAATAACCACAGTTGAGTCTTTTCCTGTCCTTTTGCTTTTTACCTCTGTGTCTGTTGTACCCATCTCGTTTTCCTTTTGTTCAAATCCCTGTTATCCATCCTGAAAATAAAAATACAACAAGAAGTGCCTCCCCACAGGCTAAGCTGATGGGGAGGAAAGAAACACATAAAAAACAAAACAATTTGTGCATAATTCTATATAAAAAATCCATAACTAATAATAATAAGCAGAGATCAGCTAAAGCTCCTCACTCTATTGCTGTGACACAGCTGCAGCAATCAAATGATGCATTCAGGGTATTTCTGAAATCAGACGCACACAGGCTGGTGGCTGTAAGCTGCAGGGTACCTGTCACACGGGCTATTTAGACCTGCGCAACACAGCCAAAGTCAGCTGCTGGCTCCAAAATAAAACGCGGGACCCTAAGCGGTGGACTGGTCAGAACTTGGCTTTTCTGAATAGGGCAATGATAATCAACAGCAAATAAGGGGAGCCACAAAGTACAATTAAGCTCCAAAGAATGATAAAACGTTTACAGCACTTGGTATTCCAGGCAGTCTGCCATCGTACCAGGCCCAACCCTGCTGAGCTCCCCACATCAGCAGTGAGGCTTTAACATCTTAGAACTGATCAACTGTCCTGTAAAAACAGAGTCTTGCCCAACAAGGAAGGATTAATGTCTTTTTATTTCAGTCCAACCAAAGATGTCCAGGCATTTGATCTGGATCTGTTGCTGAATTATCACCAACATAAAAGATAATTGCTTGTGGGCGTTCATCCTGCTACCTCCCAGCTCAGGTACGTGAGACACTGATAAATACTCCAATCATTTAGTCTGATAGCTACTTTTGAATCCTATTAACTAAAGTTATGGGCTCAGTGCTGAAATGTTGATGTGTGAGTGTATGAAACTATTCACATCTTTATCTCCTTAGAGGATGACTTAAAACAGCAGTTTAAGAGATGCCCCACAGTTTTATTCCTCTGTTCTTAACTGTAGTTCTGGACTAAATGCTTTCACTGCTCCATTAAAGTCAACCAGAGCTCTGCAGCAGAGGAGCTGACAGATCCACGTTAGTTTGCTCCATCCCGGGTACACTCCATAGCTACAGGGATGTAGATGGTTGACTGATTGGCTGCAGCTTTTCTCACTTTTCTCTGAGTGATCCTGTTATTAAGATGTTCATGAAGTTTTGGAGGGAATGTTCAAAGCTGAGCTCACAGGTAACACCAGAGAGACAGGAAGCCCCCTAAAGGCAAACAGAGCTGGCCAGCTAGCAGAAGGTGCTTTTGATCCATCGACCTGTTGGATTTTGGGCCCAGCACGCTCGCTCTGCTACTGCTGCTCAACACCCCACTGCCCGGCGGCGGTGGAAGCTTTATTTCTTTCTATTAAAATCCTTTTTGATTGATTTTGCTATGCAGATTACATGGTAAATAACTTCATGGCCTAAACTATATGATGTCTTTCAAATTGCCCCAAGCAATTATGACTATATTAATGTAGAAAGTAGTGAAACCCAAAATTGCTTTGAATGGACCATTACTAGTTTTCAGTGGTAATGAATGACAACAACATCACAATTGTAACAGTAACCACTCAGGGGTTTTTTATTTAGTTTTTTATGGCAAAGTTGGCAGGTGCCCAGTGTGCAGTCTGTGAAAAGGTGCACCGTGAAACGCAGTACAGAGGCTGTCATTCTCAACATCCACATGGATATTAAAGTCCCCTACGATAATTACTTTGTCCGTTTTAAGGACTAAAGTTGACAAAAACTCTGCAAATTCAGATAAGAATTCAGAGTATGGACCGGGTGGTCGGTACACTATAATAAATAGAATAGGTCGCAGTGATTTCCAGCTTGGGTGGGAAAGACTCAGAACAAGGCTTTCAAAAGAGTTATAGTTCAATTTAGCTTTAGAGCCGATTACAAGACTGGAGTCAAAGATAGCTGCAACTCCACCTCCTCGACCTGTGCTTCGAGGAATGTGAGTATTCCTGTGACTGGGAGGGGTGGATTCATTTAGGCTCACATATTCTCCATCACCCAGCCAGGTTTCAGTAAGACAAAACAAATCAATCTTATAATCTGATATGAGTTCATTTACAAGCACACCTTTAGAAGAGAGAGATCTGATATTCAAGAGTCCACATTTTACTCTCTTATTTGCATGCACTATTTCTCTTGTGGTTTTAACTTTAATGATGTTTTTATGCACAACTCCTCTGTTTACCCTTAATTTAAAAAATTCAATGACCGGGGGACAGACACCGTCTCTATAGGTTTTTCACTAAATAACTCCTGGAATGGAGGAGCAGAGAAGAGGGTTACATTACAACTCCGCTTCCTCCTCTCAACCCTGGACTGTCACCGATCTAGTCTGCTAACAATGTTGGCTAGGTTTCTAGAAATGAGAGCGGCTCCCTCCCCCGTGGGATGGATGCCGTCTCTCCTAATCAGGCCAGGTCTTCCCCAGAAAGACTGCCAGTGATCCACAAAGACCACCTCATTGGCCGGGCACCACCTCGCCAGCCATCGACGGAAAGATGACATGCGGCTAAACACGTCATCACTAACCAGGTTGGGCAAGGGGCCAGAGAAAACATGAACAGGGGAGAAAAAGAGAGGAAAAAAGAGAACAAAAGGATAAATAAAAGCTGTGAATCTGATAGTGTGCAGGTTTGACACAGTGGCTGATCATGGTTGAAGCTGTGTTCTCGGCTTGTTCACCACACTCTCAGAACCAGTAAACCTTTAACCCGAAAAGAGGCTAAACTTACATTTGGGCCTGAGCAAAAGAGAGCATTGGCCAGAGCAGGTACCCCAATCAAGATCATTGCAGATGCAAGCCTGGTTCTAATACAGGAACAGAAGTACCAGAGGAAGTACCAGTTTGCTCTGTGAGGGGTAGCTTAACAGATTGGGAACGTAGATATAGACAAACAGCACTGGAATGGACATGTGAGAGACCACACCCATATGTATATGGCAGGAATTTGAACCTAATCACAGACCATAGACGTTCAGAGGTCTAAACCATGTGCCTCAATAGATGGGTGGGCTCTCAGATCACAGCCTTATGACTTTAAGGTGGTGCACATTGCATGAAAACCAAACATTGCAGACTCACTGTGAAGACTACCGTCTGACCAGTTTCCAAAGCAGACATGTACACATGAATTAGAGGTGTGAGATTTGTTCCACTAAACGCCACGAAAAAAATCACTTACTATCACTTACTCAGGGCTAAAGACGCCTTATTGGCGCATTAACTGTCAAAACTAAAAAACATCTCACAACTAAATATAGGTGGCCTTGCATGGATAAAGCGGCAGGGAAAAAAAGTGTAAAGCGAGTCAAGGAAGACAGAAGATAGATCTGATCCACCAGAACACTGACAAGTTCTGATTTACTGGATGGACCTTGGCAAGATGTCGCAGTAGTCATACTTAAACCGATACCTTCAAGCCATTCAATACCTGTACTGGTGGATTATTATAGTGGCTACTCTGATGTGATGACGTCAGCGACAGCAGGGACGGTAACGGACGCAATGGACGGTTGTTTTTAGTGGACCAGGGTTACCCAGTTTCCATTAAATCAGACAATGGCCCACAGTTAAAATCTAAATTGCTCAGAGAACACTCTTCAAATCAATCAAAGCAATTAAGCAACACAAAAATTAGCTGAAGCCAATGAGAACTCAAATGCTAAAATATATCACTGATGAGGACGATCGGGACTGATAGTTAGGACTGAAATGTGACCTGAGGAAACAGATTACTGCTTATGGTCATATAGAAGAACCCACAGGCCGAAGCCCAGCGCAAGTTAAGCTCAACAGAAAAATGAGGAGAACGCTACAGGACTTCAGTGAGAAAAATGTATGCCGATGACCAAAGGGGAGCCCAGTGCTCAGAAGTGGACGTGGGAGACAGTGCTGCTGCAACAAGGCAGTGGACGAGTTCACAACACAAGGTTCTGAGCAAGACCGAAAACCACCAGCTGGAATTTAGTGTTACCCATCACACATGTAAAAAAATTAAATAAATAGGAGACAAATGAGACCACAGAAGGCCATGATGGACAAGTAAAAACTCCTGAAAAAAAGAGAGGTGACACTTACACTTCAACACCACAAGAGGGCTTTCTAAGCTTAGGGAAAAAATGATATCCAGATCCCACAGAATGAGAAAGAAGCAGAAAGGGGTCAAGAAAGGTGTTTTGTATTGAAATAGTATGCAAGCAAGAACATTCTGGAAATGATGAAAATGTAATGCAAAGAAAAACTTGAAGGAAAAGGGGGATTGTGTATTGAGGCGCTATGTGCTTACGTGATGAGGAATTTGAGAGGCTACGGGCCTGAAAGAGCAGCAGCTTGGATGATGGACACTGTGCATTAAAGCAACTAAAAGGCAACGCTTTAGCTGATGATTTAATTCAGAATTGTCCATCTAATGTAGTATAAAGGTGGGCACACAACAAACACCACTAAGCATCTAACAATCCCAGTTCCCTTCCTTTTGTAGAGGCTGTTACATAGAATCAATACATGTACAGAGTCCAGAGTGTGAACTCATCAGTTCTCTACTTGTGCAGAGGGTGGTTCTGGAGGCAGGAGATCATGTCTTGGACTGGCCTCTTCTCATAACAGATCTGATAGACTGCTGTGAACAGAGGGAACCTGTAGAGAGACAGGAAACAGAGAAGAAAAGAGGAGCGGCAGAGGACAAATAAGCCAGTCTTTTATGAAATGTGGAGTCTTTTCAATGCTCCTCTTAGTTGTAAAGTTTGGAATAGCTAGACAAAAACATTCCATACAGTTCAGATGATTTTAAAAATAAAATTAAAGCAGGTGTTTCTGATTAAAATATTTGTAAAAATATATATTCATAATTAATGTTGTAAAATCTCTACTCTAGACACAGCAACCCCAAAAAAATACTAAGCCAGCCATTTATTTTTTGTATGCTCTTAAACCCGGTGAAAATTCAGTTTTTTTTTTTTTATATCACCTGTCATTTTAAACAGAAAGTGAATAGATTCAATAGGAGGCTAATTGATACAATTGATACTGGGACTATATAACCGCAGATCTGGCTGATGACAGACATTTACAGAGCTTTGTTTAATGTATGCACACACTAATATGCATGTAGACAACTTGCAGTGCTGTGAATGGAGAATCTCTTCTACAGGGGATGTTTAGCACTGGCTGCACTAGATGCTTGGAGATGTTGAGGTGTTCTGGATTCCAGCTGCTGTCTCTTAGTTCTCACTCTGTGTGCAAATAAAATAAAGCTTTGGGATGTCATCAAAGCTCTGTACATGTTGAGCATAGAGAACTAAAGTAATATACTAAGGACTCTCGCATACTAAGAAAAACCAAAGTTCAAGGGGGGCTATTAGGAGAGATGGTGTGTACAGACATGTGCAGCAGGCCTTTCTGTTGGAGGAGGTGGTGAACACCAGCTGAGGTGGCAGGACCCTGGAGCTTCTGGCCATTCAGCATCTCTTCCTCCAGTTCCTCAATGCTCTGGATGCAGACATGACAAGCAGGTCACAAAACAACTAGTCACAAAACAAGGTATGCAATGAGAATAGAAAGATTAGAAATATTAGTAAGGTTTTGGAACCCAGGTCAGATGAAGAAAGCATGAGGACGGTGGACTCACAGGTCTGTTGACTCACCTTTCCTGTTTTAGCAAAAGCCTCTGCTACCCACCGGTTGCGACCACCATAGCAGGTAGTGATGAGGTCAGCCACGCCGCAGCTCTCTAGAAATGTGTCCACTGAGATAGAGTCCTTCTTAGAAAACAGTTTAGCTGAGGCTATCATCTCCATCAGGCCCAGGCGGATGACAGCTGCCTTGGTGTTGTCCCCCCACTGCAGTCCGTCGCAGAAGCCAGCAGCCACAGCAACCACGTTCTGCCCCCCACATTCAGCACAGACACACAGCCAGCCAGTCAGCAGACAATCAGCAGGAAACACTTATTAAGACCAAATGAGCTGGGAGAATGGAATGGGAACATCTGCAGAGGGTACTGTCCACAAAAACCTGTACCTCCAGTAGAATTTGGTTGCGAACATGGAATCTGCAAGGATCCTGTTCAGAACTTTGAGGTAAGAAAACAAGGAGTCGTTTGCAGACATAAAGGTCACATGTGCTCATTTTGTTTTTCTACTGTGTTTCTGAGTTAAGAGTTCCTATATCCTTGACAAGTTGGTTAAGTACACACAAGTGATCTTTGTAAACTTTATGGTAAAGTCACTTTCTTCACACAAAGGTGAATCGGGGAATATTAAAATGATAACAAGGAATGTCGATTTATGTCTGATTTAGAGGTTGTCAGTTATAATGTGAGAAATTAATCCTATAAAAAGTATGAAGATTTCAACCCAGGTGAAGAAACTTAATTGCTCAATAGGGTTGCACACTTAAATGAGGCAGAACACCAGAAACTGAGAAGAGACTGGGTCGCACAGATATTCTACGCTTTTGGTCTGAATAGCAAAAAGAGAGGAGTAGCAATTTGAATGAGTCTGAACGATAAAGAGGGTAGAGATATACTCATTATAGGAACAGCAGGGGGAGTAGAACTAAGGAACTTTAAAGAAGTGGCAAGGGAAGCCAGAGGTATCATCATTTTAGGGGGGACTTTAACTGTGTCTTAAATCTGAAAATAGATATATGACCTTCTGATCATGGACCCACTAGGAGGAAAGCAGCTAAACACATGCTGGAAGAATTATGGCCTGTGGATGTTTGGAGAGCCAAGAATCCAACAACAAAAGACTTCAGCTTTCTGTCTACAGTTCAAGGATCATAGAATTGATCTAATTGGCATTTCAAGGCTTAGCCAGCATAAAGTCAGAGAGTGTCTTATTGAACCTCTCACTTTATCTGATCATTGTCCTGTAAAACTGAAATTAAGTTTAGGCTTTGACTGGCACTTTAAATACTAGAGACTGAATATTTGATTGCTAAGGGACCCTAGTAAAAAAAACAAATAAAAGAAACTGTACAAAAATACTTCACAGTTAATAACAATGGATCCCCCTCAACTCTTTGGGATGGGGTGAAGGCATTGCTGAGAGGGACATGTATGGAGATTGCTGTAAAACTAAATAAACAGAGAATGGAAAGGGATTAAAAGTTGGAAAGCGATATAAAAAGACTAAGACATGCACATAAAAAAACTGAGATGAAAATGTGTTGAAACAATCACAAGACAGTAGAAATTCCGTGGATGAACTACTGCGTTTAGATTTAATGTCTGGTAGTGTCTACCACAAGGCCAATAGGTCAAAGTTAAAAAATGGTACAAAAAGGCAAAAATGTAATGTCCTCATAGGAGAAGGCTGGTTCTCAGAGGCACAACCACTTTGGTTTTTCTAAGAAAAGTGGCTTCAAGATCAAAAAGCATGACTCTAAGAAAAACAGGAGCATTTTGACCTTCTCTCCCTGTGTGTACGTGTGCATACCTTCAGAGCTCCACAGACCTCCACCGTGTCAGCATCATCTACCACTGTGATCCGGAAGTTTGGAGTCTGCATCAGCTCTTTGAACAGCAGGCCGTTCTCCAGAATCCTGCAGCCTGAAAACACGCAGAGGTAAAACTGTCAGCCTGACTATTTGATGTCACACAGGTCTGGTGAAGCAGCGGGAGGAGCTGCAGAGCTGCCTAAACTCAGGCCTACAGGCGGATTCTGGAGCTCCGCTTCAGCTCAGGAACCTCATCTGGGTCTGCCAGCCCTACAAACAAGGCAGTCTAGACCCTTCTGATTGGTGGTCCAATGGTGGTGTTCCACTTAGTGGATGCTAGATTTAGTGCACTACTTTCTGCTTCTGAATAATGCCCACTGTCTCTGCCTGCTTTTTCATTAGCTTTTAAATTGTTTTAAATTCTACTTCATTCTACTTTCCTGGATATAATTTTATTCTTTACCTTTAAATAACAAAAATAACAAAGACCTTTTGAACTATCTTTATTCTTTTTACACTCCATCTGAGGAGCCAGTTATCAAGTAATCTAAATGAAAGTTGTCAGATATATCAACAAGAAATTCTTTCACTACAAGAAAGGATTTTAGACCAAAATCTAGACCAAAAAATTTTTTTCAGGCACTCTCTGGAACCTAAAAATCAGGTCAAGAATCTTGGGGTAAAACTTGATTCGGATCAGACCTTTAACAGCCACATTAAATCAGTAACAGCAGCCTTTTACCATCTCAAAAATATTGCCAGAATCAGAGTAATAGTGTCTAAACCAGACCTAGAAAGAATAATCCATGCTTTTGTCTTTGCAAGTTAGACTACTGGAACGGCCTTCTCACTGGGCACTAAACAACCTGTAAGACAGTCCAATCCAAGATCCAAGTATTTTATCGGCATTCTTCTTTTTTTAATCTAAATAATGACTTTTTATGTTTTCAATGTTTTTTTTGTCTCTTGAGATTTTATGGTGTGAAGCACTTCAAATGGCCTTGTGTATGAATGGTGCTCTGAAAATAAACCTGCCTTGGCCTGCAGGCACCAGGCTTTCTGACTGTGCTGGAACTTAAGTGTTCTTCCCTACTTGTAAGTTGCTTTTCATCAAATGTGAAGAATAATTACCAGAATATAATTACCAATAGTTGCTTCACTGAACTTCTCGGCTGCCACTTCCTTGGCAATGTTTGCTCCCATAAGAACGCTAACGTCAATCCCCATCTTCTCCCGAATGACGTCAGAGATAAGCCTCAGGCCCTCAGGACCCACGTGGATCCCCTACAAACAGAGGCAGGGGATGTGATGAAGATGGTACGGGCTTAACGTGAGACACAGTTTAGACCGTCTGACAGTTCCAACTCTTGATCTGACCTCTTTGTTTTCTGGTGGCCTGGAAGATGTCCCAAACTGTGGCAGCTCAGCTTTGTGATCAGTGGGTTACACTTCCAGCATTTCAGGGCTGACAGAGCTGAATGGCAATTCTGCTTTGTATATTTGTCACAATGCATCTTTCTTTCCACAATGTTACCACATTTTGCCTACATATTCATTCTGATGCAGACTAAATATTTCATCGGCTTCAGGATGAATCTGGTTCATTTTTGATTAAACGTTATGTGTCAGCAATCCAAACATAGGACAGCCCCCCCCCCACTACTGATGGGTTTGTCCTAACTTTGACTGGTCCTGGTAGTTTATTTGACTTTAAGGCAATAATCTAGTTCATGCTGGAGATGGCAGAATTGCAGCAAGTGTCAGAACTTTGTAGCAGCCTTTAGTAAAAGTCTATCCACTAAGCCTAATGTGGAGCTGTGAACGCTCACGTCCCATCAGCTCTCTGGAAGGAGGGCCTAAGGTATCTCTGCCTACTCCTGCATGGTATCAAAATAATAGGACTTTTCCTTCCAGCCTTACTAGAACCACCATTGGATCCCTGCCTCAGCCCACAATGCTCTGCTTTGAGGTCACATGACAGTCTTGTGGGGAGCCAAAGGTTAACAGTAATTTGTATTAATGGTGCACACCATTGCATTTTTCTGATTTATCATCAACCAGTAAGGTATATTGTGTTTATGCGCATCTTGGGTTATACTTGAATCTCCTTCCAGTGAGTTTTATTGGTGTTTTTATACTGATTTGCTTTTGTGTGATGGTAAAGTAATACAGCTGTTTGCACAAACCAATGAAAACAAATGTGATGGGCTCAGAAATGTTGCAGAGACATGACTTCTTGGAAGTTCCTTAAGCCATCCCTGCAGCTGGTGCTGACCCACCTTAATGAGCGTTATTCCCCGGGCTCCGGCAGAGACACAGCCCCCCATCTCCTCACACAGCCCCCCTATGAACTGATGCGGGACCACAAACACCAGCAGGTCAGCTTCCTCTGCAGCCTCACACAGGTCTGGAACCGCCACCTAGGGAGGAAACAGGTGGACTACCCTTACGTAACCCCAGGCAACCATTTTCTTGATTTTAGAAAAAATGACATCACGGTGTGTCCCACATGGCCAAAAGGAGAGACGTCCATGCACTCTCCAACTCACTCCACCCAAAGTTAGTCTCCAGCTAACCGAGCACGCTCCCACCATGCACCTCTGCTCCTCTACA